AAAAGAAGAAATAGCAGGTTGGCGCGCTGTTGTGTACGGTGGGTGAGGAGGGTTTGGGGGGTGGGAAAGAAAAATGCTGCCTTCGCAAGAAGCCTCCAAAATCTACCATGACAACTATATGCGCAACTCCAGGGCCATCGGGGTCCTGTGGGCCATATTCACCATCTGCTTGGCCATCATTAACGTGGTGGTGTTCTTCCAGCCTTATTGGATTGGCGACAGCGTCAACACACCTCAAGCCTGCTACTTCGGTTTGTTCCACTACTGCGTGGGTAACGGGAACTCCAACCGGGAATTCTCGTGCCAGGGCAGCTTCTCCGAATTCGGCTCCATCCCATCAGGAGCCTTTAAGGCGGCCTCATTCTTCGTGCTGATGTCCATGGTGCTCATCATCACCTGCATCGGCTGCTTCGCCCTCTTCTTCTTCTGCAACACTGCCACGGTCTACAAGATCTGCGCCTGGATGCAGCTGCTATGCGGTATGGATGGAAGACACTTCGGTGTGTTTTGAGGTAGAGGGGGGATTTGAGTCTTCCCAGGCTTGAGGAGAACGGGGTCCTCTTGTGTTACCCACACTTTGTGTCGTTATCAAAAAGTGTCACCAGGTCCTCAACAGAATCAGTGCAGCAGGATGAGCGCTTGGGGGAGGTCACATAGAATAGAGATCATCCCTCAGAGTTAAAATAATTTCTTTATCCCAGCCTTTGGCTATTATTGGGTCTTTCCTCAAGAACCCCATCACCCTGTTTTACATAAGGCTAGTTAAAATAATGTGTCAGAGTGTAATTATATGGAATTATGATAATAAAGCCTTCAGCAGCATTGAATCAAAGCTTCTATGTTTGTTGTTATATCTACAAGATTAGCCAACATTATGTGTGATCTACAAATCGTGCATTTCAATAATATATCCTCAGTACGTTCATTCATTCATATATACAAAACCAGAACAAACAGCATGTAGAGCTGACTTGAGAGGGGAGTCTCTCCCATCAGTGCTGAGTGCAGTGCAAAGTGTTTCTTCTTCTTCACATTAAGCTGATGAAGCTTTTCAGTTTTGTCAGTGACTGATCATTTTTTCTGTGACCTCCAGGATTGGAAAATGAAGCAGAGGGACAAAAACTACAGTTCTAATTGGCACTTGAAGCTGCCTCCAAAAGCGATTGAGTGCGTATTGACTCCTATTTTTAAAAATGCTTTAAAAAGCATTTTTACAGCCTGGTTTTAAAAGCACAGTTTAGGACTCAATGGATAATATTCACTTTCCTAATTTCCTAATAATTTTCATCTATTTAAATACTGGAGTTAAGGTCATGGCTGCTTTGATTTATTTATGCTTTATTAATTAATTAATTAATTAATGGTGTGTGTGTGTGGTTCAGTTTGTGCTTCAGGTTTTGTGAATAAAGTTCTAGTATAGAAGTATCAGCTGGTTAAAGATCCTATATGATAAAGTCAGAACCCCACTTCTTCATCCAAATATGTTCAATTCTGGTCCCAAACAAAAAAAGATGATAGTGGCCAATACTCGCATGCTGAGGCTCCACATTTATATACAGCCTATGATCAGGCTTAGTGGTGCTTTGTTGAGTCACAGCATTGCTGTATGTGAAACACTTGATAGCAAGTCTGGCCTAAAGTTGATCTGCAGGTTGTTATGGGCCACATTTGGCTTTGGCCATTGACGCTGGCTGATTG